CCTTCCTTGCAAGGTTATAATTAGTCTTTAATGTGAAAATACACATCAAGCCAAAGTGCAGTGTTTGGCACATAGTAAGTGCTCGGTAAACAGCAGCTGCTATTTGTTATTTCAATAGAGCCCCAATTTCACAAGCTCCCTAAAGGTTCTTATAAAGGTGCCTCTTGGGACAGCCCACAGGCGTTGAATCCAGCGACCTCTGGGAGGAGGGCGAGGAGGAGGGCTGACGGGAGAGTTCCTGCTGGGCAGGCGGGCATGGAGTGGCTGGCCTGGGAGGTGTCCAGCCAGGCAGCAGCCCAGGTACCAGCCTGCTCCATCCCAGCCTTGCCCAGCACTGGGGAGGCCTGAGCCAAACTCTCCGTCAGATGGTTCTCTGGGGAGCACCGGGAGAACAGAGAGCCGGAAGGGGAGCTTGGGGCTGCTTGGGGCTACTTGAGAAGTAGCCCCTCTGTGGCTTATGTCCCCCGCCCCCGGACCCACCCTGCAGAAAAGTGCCTTTCCACTGAGAAACAGGAAGTTCAAGATCAAGGGCTAGGAGCAGCCCCCTTTTTGCAAATGGAGGTGTCCGACATTCCTCAGTCAGCAAAAGACCATGCGGAGGTCCCGTAAGGTGAAATGGAGCCGTGTCAGGGCCCGAGGGCGTGGGTCAGTGGCAGCCAAGCCCTCTGGCCCTCCCCTTGGGCTGGGAGAGGATCCCTTCAGCCTAGGGCTGTGGGCACTGGCCTGTGGTCTGAGCTCCTGGTCACTTCCCAGCCTGCCCTAAGGACAATGCCCCCATGCTCCCCGGTCACACGTCCTGCAGGCAGGGCCAGCTCTCTCCATCCTGGCTTCCTTGAAGAGCTGGCACCAGGCCCGAGCCTGTCTCCAGAGTCCCGTGGAACGGACTCAGCTGCCTCCCAGAGCAGCCACGGCTCCTCACTCCCAGCGTACCCTGTACCCCGCCCCCACCGGGACAGCCAGGGCCCCTTCCTCCCGTCGCCCCTACCTCCTCCCCGCCCACCCTGGGGTTGGGGCTACTTTCCCTGTTTGAGGCAGCAGGGCACTCTTCTTAGGTGCATAAACCAGAGCCCTGAGCTGGGGCTGGGCTGGGGGAAGGGCAGCCTTGGGAGGTAAGTGTCACCTCTATTGTTCCCCTAGCCACCCTGGTCAGCCCCCTGCGCCTCCAGCCCCGCCCCCTTACGGGAAGCAGCCTTGCTGTTTTCTATAGGGCTTTTCACCGTGGCACCGGCCAGGGAGTGGCCAGGCCCCATGGGGTGTCACCCCCCCCCCAACAGCCATCCTCTGGGAGGCGGAACAGGGAGCGGCCCTGGGCCTACTCCCCAGAGACAGTCACTGGGATTAGGGTATCGACTTTCCCCAGCTTTGCAGGTGGCTGTTGGTGGTGCCTATTGAATTCCGTGCCCCCCGTCCGCTCCCTGGGCTGCGTGGGTGGAGGTGACTGGGCGGCCACTTGGGGTGGGGCTGGGCTCCCGGGGGGAGAGGAGTGGAGAGGGGAGGGCAGCTATAGCAGGCCTGGGACAGGTTCTGGAACAGCCTGAGACCCGGAGAGTGGGAGACGGCCCCCCAAGTCTGGAGGCAGCTCTGCTGTCGGAAAGTGGGCCTGATGTTTTCTGGGAGGGAGACCCGGGCTCCCACAGCCTGCTCGCACCGCCCTCCGGCCCCCCACTGCCTCTGCCCCTCGCCTGCAGGCCTCTGCCGGGCCCTCCCGAGCGGGCCCTGAGGGTACACCTGAGCAGCCATCCTCGCTGGGGGGCCTGCCTAAGGCTCTGACCACCCCGGGGCCATGTTCTCCTGGAAGTGGCCCCCCCACCCTGGCTCTGGACCCCTCAAGCACGGCCTGAGGCTCCTGCTGAACTCCCTGGGCCACACAGCAGGCCCGAGAAGGCCTGGACTTGCCACTTACCCCCTTCCTCCGGGCCCTGCCCCGGCCCTGGGGTGCACACCCAGGTGCAGTGGTGGCCATGCCCAGGCACAGTGCCTGACTGCTCCCCATCGTCTCTTCTCTGTACCCAGCCAGCCCCACAGGGCCTTCTACCCCCGCCCCCGCCCCAAGGCTGCCCCCTGGGACTCCTGTGAGCACCAGCCTCCACCCAGGATGGATGGGCGGACTCAGCAGCTGGCAGTGGCACCTCCTGGGGACAGCTGGGGAGGGGTGGGAGAATGCGAAGCCCCCACGCCTTCCAATGGGAAGGGGGGCGGGGCGGGACCCTCCAAGGACTTGGAAAGGCGGGTGTTAGATGGGGCTCTGCAGGTGTCTGAAAACTTCAGAAAACCACCTGGGGTTTCCGACCCTCCTGCCCAGCCACCCGCGGAGAGCAGTGGAGCGGGTCCCAGTGCAGGGGAAGGGAGCAGCAAGGCCCTGAGCCCCTCAGGCTGCGCCCCTCATTTCTTCCATCCTCGTGACTTGGTGCTGGTAGAGGGGGATGAGGCTCAAAGCAGGCCTTCCGGCTTTAATGGCAGGTCACCAGGCAGGGGGTCCTGCGGCGAAGCTGAGGATCAGTGTGGGGACCCTGCGGCACAGAGATCCGAGCCCAGGCCTGGGCATCGTGGGGCAGCCTTGCCGGCCAGAGAGCACCCCAGCTACTCCCTGCCCCCAACTCAGGCCTGCTCCCTGCCCCTGTCAGCGCCTGTCCCCAGCTCAGGCTTAGCTCTGGCTGCAAGAGAGCTCTGAGCACCCGGAAGGAAGGTTGTGGTTTCATCATCTCCCAAGCCCCTCCCAGCAGAAACTGCAGGCACCTCAGGGAGAGGCTCCAGTGTTCAAGGCTCCCGCAGAGACCCCGTCCCAAGCACGCCTTCTCCAAGTCTGGACTTGGGTGTTCAGGGGCCCGCCTGCAGACGGCGGAAGGGACGGGAGCCCCCAGTCAGAGACAGGGCTGGAGTTCTGGTTCCTCCGCTGTGCAGCTCTGTGACACCAGGCAGTGGACATAACATCTCAGTCTCAGTTGCCCCGTCTTGCAAGCGGTTGCTATGGGAAGGCTCTTTGGAGTGAGGGGAGGCAGGCAGAGGCAGAGCCTTCGGAGCTGCCCCCTCCCTCCCCACTCTCTCGGGGCAACTGTGGAGCTCAGCCCTGCTGGGACAGAAAGCTGAGCCTGCCCTGGTGGTGGCAGCCGGTCAGACCTGTTCCTGCTCACCTGGCCTGGGGGAGGGCAGGCTGGCAGCTTTGCCGAGGGATTAGCTCGAGGGGAGAAGAGCCTCTCTTACACCCGGAACAAGATCCCAGAGGGAGGGCCGTGGCTGGCCGGCTTCGGCTGGGCCTGCTGGCAGGGGTGCTGCCGAACAGGAGGGGGATGAGGAGGGCTTGGGAGAAGGGGCGCCCTGGGGCACTCGCCGAGATGAGGGTACCCGAAGGCCCAAGTGTGAACCGTCCTTCCTGTCTTGGTCTCTCCACACCCCCATCAACATCCTGAAACAGAAAGATCTGCCGCTGCAATTAAAGGAAAGCCAAGTCACCGTCTCTGGCTACCCCCCCCCCCCCCACCAAGAGTGGAGGGGTGGGGACTGAGCCTGGCAACGGATGGCGCTGCCTCCTGGGGCTGGCAAGTTGGGACAGGTGGGCCACAAGCCCTCCTCGCCTTCCCCACCCATCCTTTTGCCTTCTCCCCTCCCCGCTGGGGGCTGGGGTTTCGGAGCAACCTGGCACCCCACCCCAACTTCTCACTTTCACTTGACTGTTCATTAGTATTCACAGCGGTGGGGAAGTCTGTGCATGCACAGGGATTTTACGGGTGTCGTGTGTTCCCTTATAAATTGCCTCACTGTGCACAGCGACCCTGGGAACAGGCGGCCCCTCAGACGGGTCTCAGTGAGGACCCTGGGGCTCTGAGGAGGACGTGACCGCCCCAGGTCACACACACAGCAGGGAAGCTGGAACCCCGGCCAGGGCCTTGGCTCCTGCCGTTGCTCGTTGCCTGGCGTCTAGGGGTAACCCAGAGCTCAGAGGCTGGCTGCCGTGGCCCTGCCCCAGGCCTGGACGTATGGGGAGGGGACCCCAAGCCAGCCCCGGTGCTCAGGCTTCCGTTTCCTGCCCACTCACTCGCACCTGGATTCCCTCCGCCACATACACGGGTCCTAGGACTGCAGCGTCTAAGCGCAGCTGCTTAAGTTGCACCGAGGGGGTGAGGCTGTTCCAGCTGAAGGTCTGAGTGCTCCTTGGGGACCGGCGGAATCTCTGAGGTTCTGTTGTTGCTTCTGCCCTCTCTGCGAGATTAGTCTTGGTTCTGACAGTGGAGTGTTCTTCTCGGGTCCAGGGCCCCTGGCTGTACCTCCCCTTGGTCTGTGGTCATTGGCCGCCCGGCTCCCCTTGGCTGGGCCGCTTGGCTTGGCGGGGGAGAGACGGAGCTGGGAGCCATGGGTGAGAAAGGCTTTACTGTAAACATGCTGACCAGCTTTCAGTAAACACCTGGCCCTGCCTCCCCGCTGCACAGAGGAGCCTGAGTGGGGAAGGGGCCCTGAAAAGCAGCACTGGGCTGCAGGGAGGCCAGTGTGGCTGTGGCTGCAGCCGGAGCCCAGACAGGCGACCCGTCAAAAGGGCACAGCCGGTTTCTATTGAGCACTCAGACACTCCGCTGAGACGGCGTCGACCGTCCTTGTACAAAGAGGCTAGGGTTCCCCATCCCACGTCTCAGGTGCCCAGCCAGGCTGGCAGGTGCATCGCCTGCCACTTCCGAGGAGGGCTGGACCGAGCCGTTGGGAGAAGGGACAACGTAGCCGGCAAAATAACACGATCAGCCTTAGAATGTCAAGAGAAGGGGACTCGAGCTAATCTGTTCCCACTTCTCATTTGCCAGAAGCAGAAACTGAGGCTTGGCCGGGAGCCTTGTTGCCCAGGGTCACCTAAGCAGGTGGCTGTAACACAGGGTCTCCACACAGGTCATCTGAGGCCCAGGCCAGCATTTCTGTGTAGACTCACGTCAGAGCATCCCTGATGGGAGCTGGCACCAGGCACAGGGGAGTGGGGCCCGGGACCCTGGAATGACGGGGACCCTGCTTCATCCCCACAGCGTGAGCTTCGACCTCGGCTCTGCGCCATGAAGAGGGGTCCCAATGGCTACGGCTTCAACCTACACAGCGACAAGTCCAAGCCAGGCCAGTTCATCCGGTCCGTGGACCCAGACTCGCCGGCAGAGGCCTCGGGGCTCCAGGCCCAGGACCGTATTGTGGAGGTAAGGCTTCTCGTCTGCTTCCCAGATTCCTCCTTCCTGAGTGCATCTCCGCAGAGAGAGCCGGCTCCGGGGGCAGCCATCACAGCACACCCTCGCCCCTGGGTTAGCCCCCAGTGTTTTGATGCCGGATGCCAGAGGGAGGGATGGTGGGCGGGCGGGAGGGAGAGGGGGGGAGGGAGGAAAGCAGGCAGGCAGGCAGGTTGGCTGGCGAGTGGGCAGAGGGAGGGACTTCTTTCCCACCCCCACGTCCCCTGGGTTCTTCTTCACGGAGCAGACACACTTGGCAGCCCATGATTGGCCCACCCATCCAGGTAGATATCTGGGGCCACCCCTCGAGTTTCCTGCCACCTGCATCGTCAATGCCAAGCACAGGGATGGAGTGGGAGGATGAAATCCGTCTCCCAAGTGATCACGGCTGTTAGGCAGAGTGGAAACGTGACCAAACGCCTTGGGCAGGTCCCAGAATCTCAGCCTTAGAACCTTAGAGCTAACGGATCAGCTCTCCCAAGACTTCTCACTTTACATGGGAGCCAACCAAGGCCCAGAGAGGGAAGTCAGACGGCAAGTACACAGAGAAGCTGGGGTCCCGCCCAGGCCTCCAGACCCTTCCCGTCCCGTCTGTCCCAGCTGTGTTTGTTTAGTCTCGTCTGGATATTTTCTTTGGCTTTTCCCACGTGCCCTGCCTGCATCTGACTGTCAAGTGGGAGGACCACTTGGCCTCGTTGAGGACTCTACAGGCAAGGGGGGGCTCAGCGTCCCCAGATCGCCCGCTGGCCGAGGACGAAGCCGGCCGCTTGCACCTCCTCCTTGCCCTACCCGTCCCCCGCCCAGAACTGAGAGCTGTGCTGGTAACCGTGCCCCCACCCGCAGGTGAACGGGGTCTGCATGGAAGGCAAGCAGCACGGGGATGTGGTAGCTGCCATCAAGGCTGGTGGGGACGAGACCAAGCTGCTGGTGGTGGACAAGGAGACCGACGAGTTTTTCAAGAAATGCAAAGTGATTCCATCTCACGAGCACCTGAATGGTGAGCCGAGCCGGTGGGGTGGCTGCAGACCCCCACGTCAGGGGTGCTGGCCAGGATTCTAGGCTCGACTGTGTCCCGGGTGAGGGGTGACGGTGTCCTGCTCCGCTGCTCCTCCCTCTCCCTCAGGGAGGCCAGGGGGTATGGGGTGGGGAGAGCAGGGCCCAGCTTGTGTCCGGAGAGGAAGCCGGGATCGGCCTGGGTTTTCTGGGGGTGACATGTGACAAGTGAGCTGGCATAAGGGATGGTGCGACGGGACAGAGCCGCTGATTTCCGGGCCAAAGGTGCAGCCCCAAAAGGAGGCGCCCCTCCACCCCCGGCACGTTTTCAGGGCGGCGCTGATGCAAGGAAAGGGTTAACTCTGGGGAGGCCTCCAGCCTGGCTTGGTCAGATCAGAGTCCAGTGGGGGCCCAGTGCCTCCCCTCCCTTCTCTCAGGTTGTCTTGGAAACCCAGCCTTGCTGGCTCTAAAGAGCGTGGGTCCCGCTCTGCCCCTGTCCTCCCCATCCCCCACCACCCCCCTGCCAAGCCTGGCACCTCCCCTTGCCCAACCCGCACTAAACGGGGGCAGGGCTGCTGCACCAGGGCAAGGAGGAGCTAAGCAGCGCTCTGCTCCCTGACCTGCACGTTCTTCCTGGGAAGGTGGCTGGGGGAGGGGGACACTGCTTCTGTCTTCGCAGTGGGCGGAGCCTCCTGAAGGTGTCAGGGTTCTATTTGTAAGGGGGCAGTGTCCACAGGGAAGTCCTGACACAGGCTTGGGTCCCTGGCCAGAGGGGCCTGGTGGGAAGGCCCTGTCCCCATCTAGCTCAGTCTAGGGTGCTGGGGGCTGCCGGAAGGGGGAGATGGGTTCACTGGGAGTCCCTGGCAGACTCCGCATGGGAGGTGGGAGGCCACCTTCACCTTGTCTCCCAAGTTCATGGAAACCAGATAACTCGGATAATCCCCTTCCTCTGAGGGGGACACTGAGGCCCAGAAAGCTCCAGCCTTGCTCTTGGGGACACGGCATGAGGAAGATACGGCTGAGACCTAGATTCCACTCAGCTCCTCAGATACCTCCCCTGCCTCCTCCCGCAGCCTTCCCCTCAGCGCCGGTCATTGGTCCTCCCTCTCTGTCCCGGGGGGAGGGGGGGGAAGGACCCTGCGAACTAGGGTAGTGGCAGCCTCTGGCCAGAGGACCTGCTCAGGGACAGGTCTCCCCAGTGTCCCTCCTGCTTTCTCTGGTATCGTGTCTTCTACCTGTTCCTCCCAGCAGATGTACGTGGGGGTGTCCCGTAGAGAGAGGCGCCCCCCAGCCCTGCACAGCCTCCGGGCTTCACACCAGCCACTGTGAGACCCCCTGGAGCTGGCGGGGAACGGCTGGCCTGGGGGCAGTGGGAGAGCAAGTGTCCGTGTCCTCGAAGTCCCCTGCCTGGCCACCCACCACGGGGCAGCTGAGGGTGTGGGAAGGCAGGAAGACAGGCGAGCCAGGCATGCCCGACTGCCCGGGCCTCTCTGGTCCAGGGCATGGGGACGGGTGGACGTGGATGTTAAGCTAAGAGGTCAGAGGAAACCCACCCAGGCTGACCGGCCCTTCCTTGCAGCCACGGGAGCCTCTGCCCTGAGCGAGCCCAGGGAGGGCGACCCCAGGCCAGTGTTCTCTCCCTCTGACCCCTCCTGTCTGCCCATGGCCACACTGGCCAGTAGGAGCTGGGGTCCTTCGGCAGCGAGCCGGGAACTGCAGCTCCGTCTAGGAGGATGCTGTTCTCCAGCAGGTGGCTTGTTACTCATTAGTGGTTCGTGAGATTAATTCGGTAGGCAGAGACCAGCATTCTTCTCTTTTAATGAAATTGGGTAGAAAATATCAAAGAGCACCGTGCTGAATGAGGGTAGGGTTTGGGGGATGTGGTAAGGGCAGGTGGTTTTGTGAAAGTCTGTAACACTTACGCACAGTTTGTGGATGCCGGGTCACCCAAGTGCCAGGTGTACTCACAGTGGGTTGCAGTCAGGAGACTTGTAAAGAGGGACCCGGGGGAGAAGACCTGGTCATGGGCCCCCACCTCGCACGTCCTCCCCACGCCCCGCCCCTCCTGCACTCCCCAGCTTTCGGACTCACCTCTGCTTTTTTCCTCCACTAGGGCCCTTGCCCGAGCCCTTGACCAATGGGGAGATCCAGAAGGTAAGGGCAGACCCCGGAACTGCATCTTTGGCTCCCAGACCAGGGGAAGGGGCGTGCGTGTGGCTGGGAGGACAGCCGTCTGGCTTGGGCTCACATTCAGCTTCCAAACTGCTCCCTCCCGAGCCCCCCACTCCGTGCCTGCAGGCGCGCCCCGGCCCCAGCCTGAGACCAAGGCTCTCCGGAGCGAGGGGCCTGGCGTGCCCCTCTGCGGCCGCCATCCTGGGGGACAGCGCCCGCCTCCAACTCCCCACCACACAGAAGAGGCCATTCTTCCCCCCAGGAACAGAGCTGCAGTGTCTGGCCGCGTGCTGCCCGGCCACTTCCAGTCTGGGTTGGAAGAACAAAGCCAAAGCCCCTCGGCCCCTCCTCCCTTCCAGGCAGAAGGGAAGGGAAGGCAGTGGAGGCTGGGGAAGGGACAGCGGGCCCGGTGCCAGCCGAGGCGGAGAGGAGCCCAGGCAGGGGCCGGGTGCTAAGCTGAAGCCCCAGCCAAGGCCTGTGCCCGGGGGCGAGGCTCTCTGCAGGGTCCGCTTAAAGCCTGCCCTGGGTCAGCGCTCCTGCGGGGGTCGGGGGGCAGCCCAGGGGCACCTGAACCTTCTGGCTCCATCTGTGGGTGTAGAACCCCATTCATCTCATTCCTTCAAAGCCCTTCTTGGCTGCCTTGGGGTCACAGTTTTCAAGATTCCTGGGGTCAAGTCCAAGTGACAGTCAGGTGGGCCACAGGAGATTCAGGAAGCAACACAGGGGTGTCCTGTGCCAAGGAGAGGCCTCCAGTGTCCCCATGCCTCTCCTCGGTCACTGGCCCAAGAGGCGAGTCAGTCCACCGGGCCTCAGGGAAGGCCGGGGAACGAGCGACTCAGCTAATCCTTCGATGGCCCCCCAGCCTGGAAGCAGGCTGCCCCCCGTCCTCGGAGGGATGTGAAGGCGTAAGCCCCCTGAGAGCCCCCACAGGCTCAGGCAGTTGGCTGTGGGGTAGGTGGCAAGGGCTCCAGTGGAAGTTCTCAGACGAGGCCCGTGTCTTCCCGGGAATCTCCCCGTCTTGCTCAGGACTTCCCCACCCATCCCCCAGCGACCCAACCTGTCCTCTCTCTGCCAGGAGAACAGCCGTGAATCCCTGGTCAAGGTGGCCTCAGAGAACCCCAGGCCAGCCCTGGCACAATCCGCCTCCAGTGACACCAGCGAGGAGGTAGGCTGGCCGGGTGGGCGAGGGGCAGCACTGGCCACGGGTACCCCACTCCCCAGCTGCGCTCGTGCCTGGCACGCCAGTCTGCCCTGGAGGCCACACGTTGGGCCACGTTTTCTGCTCTTGCGGCCTAGCTTCCCTGGGTGCTGCCCCAAGGGAACCACCTCACCAAGCCTGAGGCCCCGGGCGCCGCGCCCAGCCCTGACTCCCGCTCTCTGCCTTCTCTCCTCTACAGCTGAATTCCCAAGACAGCCCCAAGAAACAGGACTCCGTGGCACCCTCATCTACCTCCTCCTCCTCCTCCGACCCCATCCCAGACTTCAACATCTCCCTGGCTGTGGCCAAAGAGAGGGCCCACCAGAAGCGCGGCAACAAACGGGCCCCGAAGATGGACTGGAGCAAGAAAAACGAACTCTTCAGCAACCTCTGAGCGCAGCCCCCAGCCACCCGGGAAGCTGGAAGGGCCGGGCCCACACCCGACTTAACTCCCTCTCCCTCCTCCCACTTACCCCCAATGACAAACCAATCAGCACCAGCATTTCCCCTCCTGGCAAACCTGATTCTTCTAGACAACCATGTATTATTCCCTTACCTCCGAGAAAGTGAATGTGTTCCTCTCCTGCCCCAATCAGAGAGCAGACTCCATCCCCTCCTTTTCCTCACTGAGTGCTTCAGCCCACAGATGTCCCCTTGCCACACCTGGGACATCACTGGGACCTGCACCAAGCAAGGATCAAGGGACCAGAGGAGGGGCCGTGACCCCAAGTGATGCCTGGGTTTAGGGTTAATCTAGGACTGGGATTGCAGCAGCCACATCACCCCGGGAGCTGTGGGTTGGGCATCTTTTTGTTCATTTGATCTTAGGAGCGCTGTCTCGCAGAGTAGAGGGGGATTTTTGTCTCCTGATTAACATGACTTTCCAGGCTGTTGCACCCAGGACCTGGCAGCAGCCTCAGCCTTAAAATTTCGTTTCTACTCTCAGTGCAGAACCCTGGCAGGTGGGGCCAGTGTGGCCACCCTCTGCCCAGCCCTGAGCCATGCTCCGCCATTGTAAGGGGGTTCCACCAGAAATTCAGCTGGCTTCTCCAAACCACCTCGGCCTCCGCGTCTTCCTTGAGGGCTCCGTCTGCTCGGCCTTGAGAGGGGGTAGACCCGCGTCCCCAGTGGCCCCTGGCTGAGAGGGCAGGGTACAGCTGGAGGGAGAGGATGGTCCAAGGCTCCCTGGGGCCCCAAGCCTGAGAGCAGGCAGTGAGTGGCTTTAACCAGAGGGCCGTGGGCCTGTTCAGAGCTGTCCGGGGGGCCCCACCCACCCAGTGTCTGCTTCCCCCGGTGGTCCACCTGCCCAGGCGCACTGGGGCCTCTGCCAGGTGTTTGCCCAGGGACCCGGGCCCAGATGCACGTGCTGAGAGGGCTCTGAGCTGCCTTCTCATTTCAGGGGTTTTAGAAGCGTGAGACCTGCTGGAGCCTGGCTGGGAAGGTGAAGGCTTGGCTGTAATCTTTTCACCCTCCGTCAGTGGGGTGCAGGATTCCCAGGAGTGGCTTGAGCTGGCGCCGGATACTCTGTCTTATCTGGCTGTGGACCTGATTGGAGGCCAGTTGTCCAGGCCTAAGGGAAAACAACCCTGGCCATTCAGGCCCCAAGACGTGCCATGTGGCAGGTGGGGTGCAGGGGACTTGCCAAGGGTGAAGTGCCCTGTTCCTCCACAGGAGATCCAAGTCCTTTATACCTCTGGCACTGGCAGTCACATCCTGGAGGTCTGCCAGGGTGGCCTGAGAGCTGAGGCTGCTGGGCCAGGAGCTCCCGGGGCAGGTGCTCAGAAGAAAGGGACATTAGCCTCAGGCTACTCCGCACCCAACCAAGAAGCCTGAGGCGGGCGAGTTCCTGGGACTGAGAACAAGGGAGACCCATCTGAACCAGGGAGGGGACTTGAAAAGAACCTATCAGTACCTGGCCTTCGCGGCCTTATTTGGGTTTCTGTCCAGAACGCTTGCAGCGCCAACCACCCACCCTGGGCCCGGCCTGTCCCCATGCCACCCTTGCCTCTACGCTTTGACCCCTGATGGAGACGCCCCACGGGTGGGCAGGCCTGAGGAATGTCCCACTAGGTCACCTGCTGGGTGGGGAAGCGCTCGGAGCCTTTGATGAAGCCAAGGACAGGTGAAACAGGTGGCTCAGGGGAACTGTCAGTGTGGGGCTGGGCTGTGGAACAGAGGGCCCCAGCGAGCCAAACTTCCGTCTTGGATTCAGGCGCGCGTCAGGCTCTAGTCTTCCCAAAGCACACTCGGGCAAGTGCCAGGGTCGCGGGCACTGTGGCCTTGGAAGAGCTCGGAGGCCTCCGGCAGGCTGCCCTGACTTGCCTGGGACCGGCTCATCTTGAAAACGCCTGCGGCCCCTTCAAGAGTCTCTTCCACGACTGTTGTGAAATATGACTGGCCTTTCTTGACAGCCACCCCACATCATGACAGGGCACAAGGACAGACATGTCACTGGGCGGCTCCCGAACTCCCGAGGGCGGCAGGCCTGACCCAGCTCTGCCTGTTAAGCACAGGTTGCCAGGCAGCCATGCAGTCCCGAATCTGTGCCTCTGGTGCCCCCTTGTGGCCTTGACAGGTGCAGCTGCTCCCGGGGGAGGGGGGAGGGGTGGAGAGCAGGCGGCCCGCAGCTTTTGGCACAGGGGTGCTCTCCAGCCACAAGGAGCTGTAGCCAAAACTGGCTCCAAAGAAGAGGAGAGATGATTCCCGCCCACCTTCCAAGCCACCTGTCTGTCCTGACTGGGCCGACCTCGTGCCCATTACCAAACCGCCCAGGGTCACGCCCAGCCCGCCCTGTGGCTCCCACGCTGGTCTGCGTAAACGCCCGTGGGCCTCCCGGCCGCTCACCTCCACACAGCCCGGCGAGGAAACAGGAAGTTACAAGTTGGCTGTTCACTGCGCTTTACTCCCTGCCAGGGCCTCGGCCTCAGAGCGGTGCCCCTGGCCTTTCAGGAAAAAGGGAGGGCCGGCCCATTCTCCAGCACCCCCTCCTCTCCAGCTCTGCCTCCACCCCACCCCTCCCGTGGGTGCGTGCGTCCACTCCAGGTTCCCAGAGTCTGCGTCTAGGCCTGGCCAGGAGGAAGGGAGCCCTGCAGACACTGCCAGTCTGAGGGAGGCCGAGACAAAGCCGACCCAGAGTCTGAAGGGTCCCAAAAGGGGACTCCCAGCCTGGAGAGGGGTGGGGAGCCCTCTGCCCCCAGGCCCGGTGCGTCCACTCCCCGTGTCTCAGGGCTCAGTCCGCGCGGCTCCAAGGACCCATCCCCATAGGGCTTCTCTTCCACGTGGCTGGTCTGCTCCAGAAGCCACTGCCGCGCCGGCTCACTCATCGTCAGTCGGAGTGTCACCTCCTGGAAGACGCTGCTCACCGCCACCTGAGCAAGGCAGATGTCAGGGCCGGCTATGTTACACTCGCAGGTCCAAGCACCTGCAGCGCCCCCGCCCCCAGACCCAGGCTCCACCCTCCCGCCAAGCCCAGCCTTACTTGCTCAAAGTGAAGCTTCTGGAACATCCGGATGCTCGGCTCATTTTCCTGCCCGATTTTCGCCTCGAACTTGGTTAGACCTAGCTTGGTCACTCCTCCCAGGGGAGATCAGAGAGAAGCTGTGGAATGACAGTCCCTCCAGCACCCTCTGCCCGCCTGTCCCAGTTTACAGCGGGGCACCTGTCCCCCGCCCCCACCCGCCTTCCGACCCAGAGAAGGCTCACTCCCCACACGCCCCAGCCCGCACCTGGGCCTGGCCACTTCCCACACTGTCCGCCCCGACTCCCTTACCGTAAGACATCATCATGAGCACGGCCTCGGTGCCAAAGCCCCTGCCCCTGCAGCTGGGCTCTGGGGGAAAAGAACCACCCCTGAGGCCGCGCGCCAGGCCCCGGAGCAGGCCCTACCCAGTACCATCTCATTTAGTCCTCGCAGTTCTGGGACGTCCGTAAACATTACTATCATTCTGCAGATGCGACAGGCGCAGAGGAAGGTGAATGACCTGCCCAAGGGCTCACATATGGGCGGCACCCAGCCACCTGACCCCAGAGCTGACCCCTGAACCTCAGCGTCCCGCCTTATGAGGAGCCACATAGCCCCTGAGGAGAAGGCTCGGGGCCAAGGACACAAAAACTGGAGGGGCCCCTCCCACAGCACGGCAAGATGCTCCAGGGAAGATCGACTCTTTGGGGTGCTCTGAGGGTCCCCAGAGCACCCCAAACGTGGGGCAGAGTGGAGTTTGGAGACCCTCAATCCAAAGGCTGACGTCACACCTGGGCATTAGACAGGAACGAAGTCAAGTGGCAGCCTGACCCCGCCCGGTGCTAGGCTTCCCAGTGCCAGAGCCCACACTGAGCCCGCTGCGGTCCCCGTGCAGCCTCAGCTGGCTTAGGGTTTGGCAGCTCCTAGGAGGGAGAGGCCCCAGGGCCAGGGGGAACGAACCTGCAATCATGATCTCAACCTCCCCCAAGGAGGGGTCCCCTAGGTCTGTGAGGAAGAGGTTCACATCCCCCGCCATGCAGCTCTCTTCGGCGGCGCCGGGCTGGGCCCGCCACCTCTCTGCATCCAGCACAATGAAGGTGCACTCTGAGGAGAGGGCGACAGGGTTACCATCCACATTCCCCAAAGAACTCAGCAAGGACAGTCTTCCTACCCAGCCAGAGCACCACCAGCGCCTCTGAGTCTGGCAGGAGAAAAGAGGGGCCTGGGCTCCCTTCGGCTGGTGGAAAAGAGCCTAAACCTGCCCCTTGGAGAAAATGACAGCCTTCTCCAAAGAGCAAGTGTACTCTCAGACGGCAGGGGACCCAAAGAAGAGCAGTGACCCCACTGGGCCCGCAGCAAAGGATGTGAGGGGCAGGGCCTCAATTACAGCCGGAGTCCAAAACACTTCCTTCAGATCCTTCCAAGCCTGGCACAGTGAGTGGGGAAGAGGACAGGAGCGTCAGCCAGAGGGCGCAGCCTCAGTGGGCATGAGCGTGTGAGGCACCTTCCAGGCTTTTCACAAAGTGCTTTTCACAAGGTTTCTACACCCCAGAAGGGCTACAGCTGGGAGCGAAATGGGAGGGGCCCTGGAGACTGCCCCTGGAGCCCCTCCCACAACCGGCCCAGCCCAGGGCCCCACTTCTCACTGTCCGCGTCTTCCCGCCAGCTGCGCTGCATCGCGTACTCCTGCTCCAGGGTCAGAGGCTCGGAGGCTGTCAAACGCTGCAGCTCCTCTGATTTCATCCACTCGTGGTACCTGCAGGCACAGAGGGGTGGCCTTCAGCAGGCAGGACTGACCAGAAGCATGGATCTGACACGATGAGACGAAGAAATGGAGGGCAGAAAGGAGAACTCCGTAAGGCTAGCACAGGGCCCATAGAAGACCCAACAAAAGGGTTATAATTGCTGCGAAGGCAGAGGGCCACAGGCATGAGACCTAGAGGCAGTCTGGTCCTACAAAGGACAACAGGCAGGGTCGATGCTATCGGTCCAGCTTCCCATCCTGTCTTGGGGGTCAGTGTGGAGGAGCAGCCTGAAGCCAAACATTCCTCAAATTCCTGAAGGGAAGTATAGGGCAAGCCAGCCTCAGCAGAGAAGGCTGGACCGAGCTCCACAAAGGCTAGGCACAAGCAACGCCCCAAAAGGAAAACTACAAGTAGAGAATACACCCCTAGAACACCATCATCCGTGTCCAGCAGACTTTGCCAACTGCCCCCACGTGAGTCCCACCTAGCAACTCAGTCCTGGCCTTTCAAGACAGGAGACAGCAGACCAATCCATCAGCTCAGTGTTACGACGTGCTAACATTAAGTCTCCAAGAACTGAGCATATTCACTGGCACCAAAGGAATGTCACTAATTTACAATCGGGTGAGAAGACAACTTCTTTTTTTCTTACACACATTTAGTTTATGTAAAATAATTCCCTGCTGAAAAGCCAAAAAGGAGGTTGAGAGAGTGACAGGAAAAAACGGGGCGGGGGGTGACTTCTTCCAGGGAAGTCACAGTCTTTTGCTTCGCTGTTCGCTTTTTCCTGTTTGTAATCACTTCTCACACCACTGCTTCTCCTTAGAAGAAAGAGACTCTGAAATTTGGGTAAAGGAGAGCTGACGCTCCTCACTGCACCTTGAGGAGCTGGCTTGCACCCCAGGTCAGGTGGAACAGTTACCTAGGCACGTGCTCCGCGGTGTAGGGTACCAACACCACCTTCTTCCCCAACAGCAAGATGTTCTGATTTAACCTCATGGTGGCAGCCCTGAGGGTGAGGAGGGCAGACTTCAGGACCCTGGTTCCTCTCACTTAGGGTGGGAGCCCAGACTCTCAACTCGCTAAAAGCCTCCTGGGGCTGAGTTATGAGAGGAGCCTTTCCTTCTAAAGTCTTCAGAGAACAGGGCCTCTAAACCCGTTGCAGAAAGGGAGCCGGGCTACTTAAACATAGTTAGACAATCGTTTAGTCGCATCTTCAGAAACCAAACTTAAACTGCATTTCTGCCCGCTCCTTCCGTCCCACCTCCCAGAACTTTGATGTCTCGAACCCGTGCTTGACCAAGCCTTATCCCCAAAGCGCCCATCACCTGCCCAGTCCTGAGGCTCCGCCCCCGGATCCATTTCCAGCCCTGCCTTCAAACCTACTTCCAATCACCTTACTGGGCTGTAGCCCTCCGTCTTCCCCACCTCCCAAAACCATGCCCCTTCAGGGGAGGCAGACTTGAGTTCTCAGCCGCCTCCCCTTCGTGCGGAGCTACAGGTCACCCTCCTGCACCCTCACCCCGGCACCCCCGCCACCGGGGTCCAGGACGGCCAAGTTCCGACACTTCCTTCAACGACAGCGCCCTTAGCAGGGGGTGTGAGCAACCTCTGCCAACGAGCCCACCCGGGCGCCGGCCGCCCCTCCCGCATGCGCGTCACGGGAGCTTTCCGCCTACTTCCGCCACGCAGACGGCGGCCGCCGGGGCCCAATCCCGGTCCCACCTCCACGAGGCGTCCAATCAGCGCGCAACGCCCCACCCAGCCGCGCGCGGACAAGGTGGGCGGCCGGCATCGGCGCATGCGTGCTTTGGGCGCTGGTGCGGGACAGCTGGCGCCGGCGGCAGCCAAGGGACTAGAGGCGGTGACTGAGGCGGGGGCCGTGGCGGGACGAAGCGCGCTACGCTGCAGGTGAGGAGGCTGGCGCGAGGGTGGAATGGGCTGGGGCGGCGCCAGATGCCGGGCTTCTCCAGGAGGAAAGAAGAGGCCGGAGAGAGGCTTGGAGCGGGGCTCTGGAGAAGAGGAGGAGGCTTGAGGGCAGAAAGCCGGTTGCGGGGCGGGAAGTGAAGGCCCCGTTAAAAAGGAAAGGCTTTGGCGCAAGAAGTTGGGTTGGAGGGCGACCTAGGAAAGCCCCTGGCTCCTTGTCCTGTGCGGAGGAGGCAGTTACTTGGGCTGCCCTGGGCGGTAGTGAGCTCGCTGTTCCTCGCATTACATGGGGATAGCCTCCGTAGAGGGTGTAAAGGGGGCGCTTGTGATGAGCGAGACTTAGTGGCTTCTAAGGCCTCTTATATGACTTGGGATCGGAGCGGCACTGAGTGCCCCCTTGCCTTGCACAGCAAGAGAAAGAAAAAAAGAAAAACAGCCAGGTGTGAGTCATCCAGGAAGACCCTTCCCACCCGGCTGTCTTGTGACAAATGTTGAGACCGTAATTCTACTGTGATAAAGAGAAGGGGAGAGGCGGCTCTGCAGGTCTCTCGCCAGCCCCAGCGAGGTCCATCAGAAAGCTGAAGTCTGCTCTTTTGCCTTAGGGAGCCGCTGCAGCCGCTGCCCTGCAAGCAAGAAGAAAGCTCGGCCGAAGGTCCCTTCCTCACTTTTGGAAATGGCGGGTGAAATCACAGAGACCGGGGAGCTCTATTCTCCCTACGTGAGTTTTACTTCCAGAACATGTTTTGCCCGCGTCAGTGCTCCTGGCTTCTAGAGGAGCGCTCTGGTCCCAGTGGACTGCGCTAGCGTGGTGCTGCTCGCCTAGATCCTCGGGAGAGCCAGGGTGGGGAACCTTGATTCAGCAGCAGCGATGCCGCTGCTGTTGTGGTTCAGAACATATGCGACTCGGGTTTGTTCACATTTTAGTTGTTGATCAGAGAGTGGTCAAGAAAACAAAATTGACTTTGCCAAGCCTAATGTTTACCTCGGGGCCACTACCACCGGCACTGAGTTTCCTGCCCTTCAAATAGGCAGTGATTGACAGCTGTTGACTCTGGGTTTTGCTCATCTCCGCAGGTTGAAACCACTTGCGTTTTTAGCTGAATTTTTAGTTGCACGAGGTTTATAGTCTTGGATGGCATAGGAGACACAAAAAGCATGCAGACACTTCCAATTGCAGTTTGGTGGAGTCTGTAATTAGAACTGGGATGATTGATTTCTTCCTGTCTGGGGTCTGTATTACCTCCCCAACCACCACCCCCCCTCCGCCAAACACACAAACACACACGCGCACGCGCGCGCTCAGTTTGTCTTCTTTGTGAAATATGAGATTGATCATGGTTACATCATGGAATCCTCTGGGCTGGGTAAGTTGCCGGAGGATTGGAATAATCAAATGATTGACTCACATTGCTACCAGGTATCCCAGGGAAAGCACCGCTGTCTTAAGTAGCTAGAGCCCTCTTTCTAGAACTAAACCAGCCTTAAAACACTGCCCTGCTTTGCACTTGCCTTCCTAGCCTGGGGATCCCTGCTCTGTTTCTGCCAGGCTTCGCAGACTCCAGAGCTGTGGCGTGACGGAGAAGGAAGCGTCTCCGAGAGCAGTTGGAGCCTCCTTTGCCTCAGTAACATCCCAGGAAGAAGGCTTTCTTGAACTTGGAACGAATTGAATCATGTCCCTCTCAAGTGAGACATTGTGTAACAGCACATAGCTTCGTCTTGGTGTCAGCAGTGAACTGTCCACGAAAGCCACCAGGGTTCCTGCCGCGTCTCATGGCATCTGCAAGCTCAGAGCTGAGTCATTTCTGTAACTGAGTTTGGGGAAGGAACATCTTTGATGTGCCCATTTTTCTTCTGTCTCCAGTTGCTTAGCATGTAATCATTTTCACATGTCAGCATGTGCCCACAAGAAATTGGGCAGCAAACCCCGAAAGCCTCAGCGTGTTCTCCTTTTTAAAAATTGTTCCTCTCATTTCCTTTGTTTTTGGGTGTTTTTGAGGCCCTACGCCAGGCATTTCCCATGACCAACGGGGTGTCTTCTCTTACTCTACCGGTGAAGAGAGACGCATGAGAGACCGGTGGCGCTCAGGGTGAGGTGGCATTGCCGGGCGTCAGTGGTCCAGGTTTAAGGACAGAGCATGCCTTTTCTCCTGAGGTTTCCCTGACTCCATCATCCTGGGAGACTAGTTCTTAATCCCCTGTGAGACCAAGATCTGGCTCAGGGGATAATGAACCTTACAGAAGGTTCTGGAACTGGCTTTACTGTGAATGCAAATTTGAATTCCCTTGCTCAGCACAGTGTGGGCAGAGCCTGCTCCGGCTGCCTTGGGAGACCGAGACACTGGGCGCTTACGCCCAGGTCGTGAATGTGCTGAACCCGGTCACTCCCAACACAAGCCTCTCCCGACCTCTGTGTGCCCTGTTACCAGCGCTCCTGCCCCTCATGGGTCGTGAGGATGTTTATTTTAGTTTGTGTTATTCTGCATAAAATATTTGTAGTGGGCAGAGGACTCCCTCAAGGATAGCGCGGGACGCAGACACGATTCAGGCTCATACATTCCCCCCCATAAGTGATATCAGAACAGGCATGAGGGTTTCCCCATTGACGGGGACCAGGAGCAGCACAGGACGGAAGGGACTGTGTGATCGAAAGAGAGGATGAAGTGGATCGCCGCCTGCGTGGGCGCCAGCTGTTGAAGCCACCTCTGCCGGTGGCCTTGCCAAACATTGCTGCTGTTGCTTTCGAAGGAAAGAGCACTTGTCTCACAGCCTTAAGTTCCACTTGTGGCTTCTGCACCTCTGCTGCCTTCCATTTCCCTTGAGAACTGTCACTGGGGAAGTCGTTGACACCTGTGACCCTGCCTCTTGCCCTTCTGTGTGTGAGGCCGCTGGGCGGGAGGCAAGGCAGCGGGAACCCTGCACTGAACTCGCCCGCGCGTAGGGGAGCATGTTGGTCGTGCCAAGAAACAGGAACTGTGCCTTCCCCAGCACAGCCGCAGAGGAAGAAGAGTCAAGAATGGGAGGAGACTCCCATTAGCCTGCAGCAGCCACAGCATGCGCGGGTCTTTACCCAGACTGCACTAGGGCTTTAGTCCTCAGCTTTCGGCCACAATTCCCAGGAGGCTGTCTCCACAGAACTGTCCTGTAATGAGCAGGAGAGAATGGCTTCTTCCTCTTTCACCCCTGCCTTCAACCTTACTGTGGCCTTCTCCCGGTGATCGGTCCTTCCTGGTCGCCATCACTGAAGGGAAAGAGGATTTAACTCTTGCCAGGAAGGTGACGTCTTACATCCCGCCTGCAGCTCTCCCTGAGCCATGCTGGGCCCAGAGTGCCTGCTTCGGGACTTAAAAAATAGCAATGACCTAACCCGTTTCTGCTCTTGACTGCCACCATTTTACCCCTAATGAACTGCTTTGTCAAGTTTTTAAAGAGTCCTTTTCTTTGGGATTTATTTGAAGTTTCTGTTGGGAACAGGCTCATTTCCTTGTGTCCTTGTCAGCAGTGGTTCTCAGTTGGTGGCAGTCTTGCTCCCCAGGGAACATTTGGCAATGTCCAGAGACATTTCCATTGTCACACCATGGGGCAGTGGTGGGGGCCCTGGCAGAGTGGGCAGAGGCCGGGGGTGCCGCTACCCCTCCCCCAATGCACAGGACAGGCCGCTGTGGTAGAGAATGGTCTGGCCCCAAAGCCGGCAGTGCCTGGGCTGAGAACCCCTGATGTGCAGTAAAACCTTGCCTTTTACACCCCGAGACCTTCAGGCATCCCTGAATGTACAACTGCCTCTTGTACTTTTAGTTTCCCCCTAAAACTCTGGCTGAGAACCACCACGGCCGTGGGCCTCTTTGCTTTCTCTGTGCTTCCCTCATAAGACCAGCACCAGGGTCATTTTTCCTAAAGAAATAAGCTTCCGCCCATCATAAGGGCTGCCTCTTATAGAAGCGATACACAGAGAACAAAGCTTCCGGGAGGTCAAATGTTAGGTCGTCGACAGGCAAGGTCTTCTCTGAGGCGGTCCTCATTGTTTTCGTGCCTCTCCTCCCACGTGAGGTCAGGGGCCGGGTCTGTCTTGCTCAGTGTCAGATCCCCAGCTCCCAGCTCCCAGGCCCGGGCCAGGCCCCCGGAAGGCCCTCGGAAGTTGCTGAGGGAATGAGTGAGCGGAACTGAGCTCGCTGAAAGACTCTTCCCTACACTTGGCTAGACCAGCTTCAAAGTGATTGAAATCAACCAACAAAAGTAAACGACAGTTTCTTGTAGACACAGTGACTTTGGAACAGCCAACCCTGTGCGTTTCCAGTTGGGACGGCCAGCGGGGGGCCGTGTGTCCCGTTTCTCACCCCGGCCGTCACCCTCGCAGGTATTCTCATGAGACCGCCCTGTGCCAGGCCATCACGGTAGTGTTGGGGTCCAATCAGGTGCTCCAGGAAGACGACCCAAACTCGTTTTAATCCTTCTGAGATCTGTCTGTGAAATCGAGTTGAGATTATGGTGGTACAGACCGATGAAGACGGTCAGTCTTGTGTTCGAGAGAACCTGAGCCAGGCCCAGGCAGCCCCGCTGGCAAGTCCTGTCGCGAGGCCATGTGCCAGGCACCGTGAGAAGCATAGAGAGAAGGTTTGGGCACGGGACGTGCTCCTGCTCCAGGGCTTCAGAAGCGGGGAGCAAGACAGATTTCGGGGATTGAGAAGGGCTTTGTGGCGGCGGCAGCATTTGAACGGGCCCTGAGCGCCCGGGGGAAATCGAGGGGCCGGGCAGGAGGCTGGGGGCGTGGTACCCTGTGCCAGGTGCAGGGGGACAGTGCACGGAGCTCTTCGCGCTCTGCAGGGTGTCTTCCCGTTATCCCGCCCTCAGATGTGCAGTCACCACCTGCCCAGAAGCCTGTTCTTCTCACCACTGCCCTGCCCCTCCTTCCTGCTGTGAGGAGCCCCGAAGCAGTAGCCCTGCTCCCTGTCTCTGTTTTCCTTACAAACCTGACTGAGGCTGGCAGAATGGGCCCAATTTGTGGGTTTCTTTTTAATTGTTTTTTATTGACACCTTTTCAATGAGTTTACATTCAGTGTTACTCTGTATTAATTTCAAGTGTACAGCGCAGCGGTCACACAATCGTATGCAAGGAGATCCCCTGATATTCCCAGCACCCACTCGGCACCGTGCACACTTAGCGCAATGTCATTGCCTGTATTCCTTGTGCTGTGCTTTGCATCCCTGTGACTGTTTTGTAACTACCGATCTGTATGTCTCCTCCGCTCCTTCACCGTTTTCACCCAGCCCCGCAACTTCTCCCCACTTATGCTCTCTGTATCTGTGAGTATGTTGCTGTTTTGTTTGTTTATATTCTTTAGATTCCACATGTAAATGAAATCATACGGCATTTGCCTTTCTCTGACTTATTTCATTTAGCATAACATCTTCTATGTCTCTCCATGCTGTTACAAATGTAAAATTTCGCCCTTTTTTATGGCTGCGTAATATTCCATTGTGTATATGTACCACAGCTTTTTTGTCCACTTGGCTACTGATGGGCATTTGGGTTGTTCCACAGCTTGGCTATTGTAAATAACACTGCAGTGAACGTAGGGGTGCATATATTCTTTCTCATTACAATTTGTGTGTTTCTGACTTTAAAATGTAGCCCACGGGTATCTTAGAAAAAACTTAAATGTAGAAAAATGCAGCTTTCTAAGAATGGGGAAGCAAAAAGGAGAGATGGGCAGGTGTCCGCAGAGACAAAGTGTTTGCTGTTGTTTTTACATGGTCAGAACCAGGTGGTGAAGCAAACTGTGAGTCAGCCAACGCAGCAGAGCACGAGAGGGCTGGTCAGGAAGCTGCTGTCATAGTCCAGGCCGAGGTGGTGACTCTGAAGCGTAACAGTAGGAGCCGGAGGTGGCCATGGGGCTCTTCAGGAATAAGGCCACTAGCGCTGGGATGTGGAGGGGAAGGAAGGAGGCTGCGGCCCCCAAGGGGACGTTCAGGTGGAGGTGACCCTCAGACAGTTGGCTTTGCGGTCTGCAGGAAAGCTGATGTGACGAGAGGTGGCCTCCTTTTGTTCTCTCACGAGAGCCAAAGGGTTCAAACCATAAGAATGCACGAAATTGCTGCAGAAACGATATGTGAAGAGAAGAGACCGCTAATAGCAGGGTGTACGAAAGATTAAAAGACTAAGAAAGCCATTGGATTTGGCCGGTGGAGGTCACTGGTGATTTCCAAGTTCCCGAGCGCTCTGGGGCTGGACACCGTGAGGCATGGGGACTTGGAAACGAAGGGCACGCAGTTGCTCCTTGGATGAGTTTGGCTAAGGGGAAGTGAGAGGGTGACCTTGCAAAGGTGTTGAGGACATCTGTAGGCGGAAGGGAAGAGCTGGTGGGAGGAGAGGATTCCAGAAAGAAGATGGGGAGCCTCAGCAAGGAGGAGGGGCACGTGCTCCCCAAAGGCGGCGGGGACGGTGGGGAGGATGTGGACACTGACTTTCAAGCTGGAAGGAGTGAGGCATGGCGGGGGGCGCAGGCCAGGTGACCTGTCACCTCCATCGCGTAGGAGGTGCAACCTTCCTCTGAGAGAGGTGGGTCGTGGGTCTGGGGGCTGGAAGGCTGAGGCTTGGAGCAGTGACATGGGACACGCTCGGAAGTCCACGGGGAGGAATAAAGCAAGTCTGTGCCCGTGAAGGCGACACAGGTGAAGGAACCAGCATGGACCCAGTCATCGTAAGTTTTTACAACACCCAGGAACCTCTAGCAGCTTTGTATCAGGGAGCCCAGGAAGCAGCTGCTGGGTCCCATCCAAGGCTGGGGGTCAGGACGGTCAGAGCAGGCAGGGGAAGGGCCGCGCGGGGAGTGTGTGCTCTCTGGCACCAGCCGACCGTAAAGGATGCTGAAGAACGTGAGGCCAGATGGAGGTGGTGACCTGGGAAGGGACGGTGGGGGGACGGGAAGTCACGATGGGACGGAGGGGTTCGGTGGGAACGGAGAGGGTTGTGGGAGGCAGGGGCTTCAGGGCAAGGAAAGGAATTTGGTGGCGGAGGTCTTGAACAGGAGTGATTGCAGTTGGCTGAGCCAGAGGCGAGTGGGCACGACTAGGGTTAAGCTCAAATGCTCAAGTCGGTGGGCAACAGTTGCACCACCGGGGCGGGGCCCCTGATGGGCGAGGGTGTCTTTTAGGGGGATGAGAATGAACTAGATGGTGCGGCCTCATGAACATACTAAAAACCACTGACCCTTGTGCTGTAAGTGGGTGAACTTTACGGCATGTAAATCCTGTCTCTCTGAAAAATGCCTGACTTTAGTAAGGGGAGGAAGACAGGGAACGGGAGCTGCCGGGATGTCAGTGTCCCGGACGGCAGCAGGGACAGGTGGAGGGGGGACTGGGTCACGTGCTGGCGACCTGGGGAAAGTGGAAAAGCACACGTGACAGCGAGTCCTCAGGAAGCCCACGGCCTGGTTGGGCCGAGAGCCCATGTCTGCGATGCAACTTTGCACAAGTGACAGGGAGGTGGGGTGAGGGCAGCAAAATCGAGAATAAAACTGATCCTCGGAGGCATTTGAAGAGAGCGATAGAATGTGAAACTTGAGTCACCCGAGTGTTGATGTTTGGTCCCCAACATCTGGTGGCAGGGCAGGCCTCCGAGCACCTGGATGGGATGCTCCCTCCTCACCTGCGTCCCTGGGCTCGTGGCCTCCACGGTTTTGCCGTCGCCCTGGGTCCCCCTTGGGAGCCGTCGTGGGGAGAGGTTAATTAATTTCTGGGCTCACTGTCACCTCTGTCGGTTCCAGGTTGGCCTGGTGTACATGTTTAACCTCATCGTGGGCACCGGCGCGCTCACCATGCCCAAGGCCTTTGCCACTGCTGGGTGGCTCGTCAGCCTGGTCCTGCTGGTCTTCCTGGGCTTCATGAGGTAAGAGGCCGTCACGCGGGCCGGGGGCGAAGCGGACGCAGCCTGCCCAGGGAGCCCCCTGTGGTGAGGGGCATCCCTGGGGGCAGGAAGCTGTCTGTGGTGGGCCCTCAGCAGGGGGCCCCGGGAGAGGACAGGGGTGCAGAGGCCCTGTGTCTGCGATGGAGCCGTGGCGCAGCCCCGGCCCATTAAAAGGTGTAAGAGGAGCAGTTAGGCTTTGGAACGTTTCATGAGGTGTTCCGTGTTTTCTCCCTGGCTGGTCTACCTCCCCGGTGTATATTTTTGAGAAGAGACCCCCTGGCCACAGAAAAAGAATCTGACAGTCGTTGAAGGTGTCAGGGGAAATCAGTTGGTAATTTAGAATTTGTTTAAGGTGGTTCACAGCGTAAGGGGTAGACGCACGGCGGTAGACTCACGGCGTGCCCGTGGTCATTGCCCGCCAGGGCGCCCACTGCTTGAGCCAGGTCTGTGGGTCGAGAGGCCCTTCTTGGGCACCTGCCGAGGGACTCTAAGGTCGGCTTAGCCAGCGCCCCAGGCTAGTGGGGGATTTTGGAGTAAGCATTTCCAGGCCCTGAGCCAGGCAGGAATCTACCAGCTTTGACAAAGAGGTAGGAGGCAGCCCCAGAGACACCCCCTGGCCCCCCCCTCAGAGAGGTGGCGCCAGGCAGCGCTCGTAGGTACGAGGGGGCCCCGAGCAACACAAGGAGCCCCCTGAACATTCTCCTTTCTTTGGTGGGGAGACAAGTCGTAAGTAGTGAGGTAATAAGTAAGGGAACGGTGGGGTGAGGTAGAAGGTGACAAGCAAGGATGGATCAGCACCCCACAAAGTGTGGCGGGGTGGGGGGTGTTGGGAGGGTGGGGTCGTGGCCGTTTTAAGGTGGTCTCTGGTCACAGGGGGCGGCATTTAAGTAGATTAGAAGGAGGAAGGGGAGGGTACTCCTGGAAGAATGAAACAGTGTAGCCCCTGAAGCAAACTAAGACCCCAGAGGAGCTCAGTGGGATAGGAAAACACCCTCCTTTCTCAGTTTGTTCTGCATTTACTTTTGGGTGGGGGGGGGGGGGCCAGCGTTAGGGTGCTGTTGCTCATCATTACGTACTGCAAGCCTTGGCAGCCAAGGGCCCGAAACGTCCTTGTCCTTGTGTGATTCCACTGTCCCCTTTAAAGGACCTTCAGCCCAGGCAGCCATCTGAATGGGGAGTGATTGCTGGGGCCCAGGTGGGGGCCGCCATGCCCCCGCCTCGCTCAACCTGTTTGTGTTTGAACATGATCAATGAGTTGGCGCTGGGCAACCATGAGAAGCCTCTTTATGCCTTAATTAAGATTGATTTTACTTTTACTTCCAAAAAGAAGGGAAAATCTAAAGCCCTTAAAACGGTCACTTAGGCAAGATAATGAGAAGCGTTCCTAGGACGCGCTGGGCAGACAGGGATGGGAGTTTCAGAGCTGCCCCCCGCCCGCCATGGTGCGGATGTGGATTCAACTCCGGTCGCACCTGCCACCTGACTGCTGGGCTGAGCAGTCGGTCTAGGGCCCGCGACCGCGCTCCGGGGGCTCAGGGCCAAGCCCCACAGCGGAGCATGCTGGCCTCGAGAAGCAGGGCAATGAATGTCCTGCCCCGGGTTGCGCCCTGTCCCCAGCCGGGCGGCCGGCGGGGTGGAGCATCTCTCCGGTGCTGTGGGTGGGTGGACGGCCCCCTCACCCTCTGCTGACAAAGGCGCGCGCTCTGCACCTGTCGTCTGGGCCTCTCTGGTTTCTCTACAAGGAAAAGAAAGGGCGGTTTGTCACTCTAGTCTGACTTTTCAGCAAATGTCTGGGGCCGCCTCCCAAGCTCCCTTTTGATTCAGGCCACAAAAATGCAAGTTTATTTTAGTATTACCCAGGTTATTGGGAAAGTAAAAATACTGCCCCAAAAAGGCAGGGAGTGAGGGGGTGCAAGGGGCCAGGTTCCGAAGCCAGCGGTTCCTTCCTTTTCCCTTACTCCTGCCTGTGCTCCATTCAGGATCGTGTGTCCTTGGGACTGGACCACTGTCTGCGTCCCTGGCAAGGAGAGGCAGGAGCCGCCCGCCCCGCAGCCTCGGGAAGCCCCTTGAGAACAGCCTCCTCTTCCCGAACCAGAGCGCCAGTGGGGCCTGCCCTCCCACCTCTGCCCCAGCAGGTCCCCTTTGGTGCGCAGCACTACGTGGCCCTGTCACCTCTCTCCTGTGCGTCCGATTCCCGTTCTAAATGGGGACAGGGACGCCGAGGCAAGCCCACGGGGCGCCGCGTAAGCACACAGAGCTTCCTCCTGTTGGGCCAGCCCGCCCCGAGAGCCCTGGGAAACAGCTCTCAGGAGAGACAGTGCCTCTGCTGCTTGGTCGCCTCAGGTCTCACAGTGGCTTTTCCTTTCCCTTTGTCCCTCCTCCAACCCTCCTGCCTGCCTTTGGCAATTAATGCCCGCCTGCCACCCCCCGCAGCTTCGTGACGACCACCTTTGTGGTGGAGGCCATGGCCGCAGCCAACGCGCAGCTCCGCTGGAAGAGGACGGAAGCCCACCAGGTGCGTGTCGCCCTTGTCCCCGGGTGGGGCCTCCGTCCGCCTGTGTGCCGGGGTGGCACACAGCGGCCAGTCTCTTCCCTCCTGGGGAACGGGGGACCTGTGTCCATAGCACCGCTGGGGACCCTGTCCCTGAGCAGACGCTAACAGCCACCTAAGCTTACAGCACACACGCGGCTGCTGCTCCTTTTCATTCGTGTCGTGGGTCCCTCCTGCCCCGGCCTTGCGCCAGCTCGGTCCTTCTGAGCTTCTGCACCCAGGGACTGTGCTGCAGCTTTGGGCCCAACGTCCAAGTGGGTCTGCGCCTTCTCAAGTATGGAAGCATTGAGAGCTTCCTAATCAGATACCTTGTAGAAAGAAATAACAAAGGACGCAGGTTCTCCATTGTCGCGGGGCTTTTCTGTAGTAACGTAGTCCTTTCTCCTCACTTGTCGCCCCTTCCCCGACCACCCCTCTTAGGAGGAGGAAGATGACAACTCCTCCACAGCCTCTGACAGTGACAGTCTCACCCAGGACAACTACGAGCGGGCAGAGACGCGGCCCATCCTGTCTGTGCGTAAGTCTCGGGGTTCCAGCCCTCTGTGCTCCCCTGCAGCCCGCAGGGTCCCTTTCCACGGGGACAGGGCTGGGGGTTTCTGCAGGGACGCTACGACTTTCGCCAGCAGGTTGGTTCCCGGCAGGCACTGGGGTAGAGGAGGAGGAGCAGGGCTACGGGGCCCAGGGTGCAGGCTTCCCCCCCGCAACCCCAAGCTCCGACACTGAGTAGCGCCTGCAGCCTGGGCAGGTTTCTCAACCTCGGCCCCTCAGCCTCCTGCCTGTCCTGCTGCCCTGGATGGGGTTCATCACCTGGCCCGGAGCCCGGTGCACACTGGAAGCCGGAGTAAATGCAGGGTCTCTGGCTTCCCTCCTTCTGCCTGCACCCCCCCGCACACGCACCCACTCACCACCCCCCCCACCCCCCGCCCCGGCATGCCTGACAGTCCGTCCCTACCCCGGCCCAGCCAGAGCTAAGCATCCAGCGTCCCTTCTCACCCTGCAGCCAGTGTCTGTTTTCAGATGTTTCAAACAGGAGGCATTAGGAAAAGCTTTCTCAAGAGTTCGGAACTCTTGGGGATTTCATTATCCCGGAGGATTCAGCAGGCTCAGCAGCCCCCTCCAGAAGCCAAGTGTGCCAGCCATCTCCTCTCCCTTGTCCTTTGGCTCCACAGAGCGACGTGGATCTCTGAACCTCTTTGAAATCACAGACCGGGTGGAAATGGGACAGATGGCCTCCATGTTCTTCAATAAAGGTGTGCGTTCTTTGCAGGTGGGGCGTGGCTCGGGGAGAGCTAGTACTTCCTACTGACCATGGCACTTGGAATGAGGGGCCCCCGTCGGCGGCGATAGGGCAGGCGACAGGAGGCATGGGCTGATGGCCTGCTCCCAGTGTCCCGAGGGGCCGGCTGGCTGAGCGGCCCAGACGGCGTCGAGTGTTCTTGGGTTCCTCCTCATTTGTCGGCATTCGGAATAGAAAGTGGCTCCTTACCTCCTACCAAACGTAGAGGTCAGGAATCCTAAGCAGGTTTTCAAGGAAGGAAACCCACAGAGGCTGGATGGTCATTTTGTGCCTTTTGCTTGGTTGCTTCTGACTTGTCTCTCTCTTCTTCTGGAGTCTTCCGTGTAGGACAACACAGAGCAGCTGCCTTGGAGGCTCTGCTGCACCTGTTTCTGCCTGGCTCTTCCTGGTGGCCAGCAGAGGGCGCTGGGAGCCCAGACACAGGTCTGCCGTGTGGCGTCTGCGTGTCTAATCACCTCTCCCCACCTTCTACCTGCTGCTCGTTAGGGGCTTGGCTAGAAGCTGAAAGGATCCCACCCAGCTTAGGCGCTGGGTTGTTGGGTGTTTCAACAACATCTTATACTGCCATCATAAATCTTGTTCTTTTGGAAAATGAGCTCTTTAAGAGTTTAGTGATTTGATGCCCAAACCCATTTTTCCTTTATAGAGTCAGACACACCTTGAGGAATTCTTGCCCCCACAGTCACCCTGGGAGACTCTCCTGCCCCTGAGTCACTGCCCCTGCTGCAGAGGGGTGTGTGGCCACCAGTTCTTATCTGTCCTCAGTGTGGCTGCACTAACTGAGAGCTGGTGGGGCAGGGGGTGTGTAGGAATTGGAAGCTTGTTGGCTGTTTTTAGGATATTGAGAATTCTGCTTACCCTTGGTGGTGTGATTTGACTGTCTAGTCTGAAAGAGTGCGATCATCCACCAAAGGCTGCCCGAGGGTCTGTTCTGTCCCCCCCACCAGCCTCGTAGGGGCTTCTGGAATCTGTGAAACCAGCCTGGCCATGTCTGCCCGCTTCTCTTCCCTGGGCTGTTCCACCTCCACCACTCGCAGCCTCGTTAGGCTGAGATAGGAAAGCGTAAACATTTCTTCCCAGGTGCCGTGTGCACTCTCCTTCCTAATGCAAGCTTTTGAAATAAAATGTGCACTGACAGGCAGATGTGTACCTTTTAAATGTCGCTCCTGATTTTCATGCTTTATAGTCTGCCCTGATTTCTTAAAGAATTTGAGGAACTTGGGGTTTTGTTTTGTCTTCCCTTCCACATGGACTAGATTCCTAATTTGCTTAAATTGAATAGAAAATAAGCACAGCCCTGGTTGATGTGATTCGGTGGATTGAGTGCTGATCTGCGAACCGAAAGGTCGCTGGTTCAGTTCCCAGTCAGGGCACAAGCCTGGGTTGCAGACCAGGTCCCTGGTTGGGGACGTGCAAGAAGCAACTGATTGATGTGTCTTGCACACATTGATGTTTCTCTCCATCTCTTTCTCCCTCTCTTTCCCCTCTCTCTCTAAAAATAAATAAATCTTTGGGGGAAAAAAAAAAAGGGAGGACAAAGAAAATAAGCACATTAGCGAGAAGAGGCTCGTACTTAGCGGAAGCGTCTCCCCGTCTGCTCCAGGGCTTCTCAGACTTGGCGCCGGGGCCGTCAGGGCCGGAGCACTCTGTCGTGGGGCCCGTCCTGCGCGTTGTCAGATGCTGAGGAGCATTTTTGCCCTCTGCACACTCGTTGCCAGCAGTGCCTCCCAGTTACGACCACCAGAAGTGTCCTCAGACATTGTCAAATGCCCCCCAGCCAGGGTCACGGGACAGAATTGCCCTGGTTGAAAACCACTGCTCTGCCCTATTCCCAGTTCACAATTGTCGCCTTCCCCTTTAGAAGGGCTGCCCCCTCCACAAAAGGCTCCCTGGGAATCCAGACTCATTTCTTGTCATTTAGAAATGCCAGGCCTCGTCATTGCTGTCCTCTCAGGAAATTCATTGATCCTCCCATATTGTGTTTAGTAATGAAATTCATTGATCAGGGTGGGCCAGCAGCAGTTCATAAGCAGAGCTGACACTGGGCCCCTGGGCAGGCAGAGGAAAGGTTGGGGGTGGGGAAGGGACGGTACCGCCCCGCAGAGGGCACTGGGGTCGGAGCAGAAAGACAAGCCGGGGTGCAGGCTCTCCCTGGGTCCTGGGGGCGAGTGGCAGGCAGACCCCAGGGGCCACCGAGCCTGGACAGCAAGCCTGTCTGGGGCCCTCCTGGGTTCTTCCAGAGCCATTTTCTCCTGGTCTTTTTCTCCTCAGACTCCTAGGAGCAGAGCCGACTTCAAATAGCCCAGGAAAAACATGTCCCCAGCTTTCCTCTGGGAACCCCGGAGGTCTTTCTAAGCCACCAGCATTAGAAGGGAACTGTCACTTCATTTTCTTTCTGTTTCCAGCAAAGCTAGCGGCTCGAGACCAGTGGCATCAAAAGGAGCCGTCAGTCCGAATGGGAGTTTGAGTCGGGCTGTCGGGGCTCTGACCCTGAGGTCGCAGGGCCCAGACACTTTTCCAGAGTCCTTGTGGCTGTGGTTCATAGGGCATTTGACATAGGTGGTGTCCCCACTGTAGAGAATTGGGACGGTCAGGGCTCAGGGCGGGTCGGGAAGTGAGAGGAATGGAACCAGGACCAGCGCCTGCACTCCCAGCTCTTAGTTCTGGCCCCTCCTGGCAGAAGCGGGGACCAGGATTTGCCTCCAAAGAGGGAGTGTCCCCCACACCTGCTTCTGCACATGAGGAGGAGGTGAGCCCGCCGTGAGCTCCGCCCCTGCTGTTCCCACTCCCCTGCCCCTCCAGCGCTTGGCATTTATTTGGCCTTTGGAAATCAAGGGCTTTTACTCTCTTGATTTCAGTGTCAGAAGCTGGGCTGTCTCCTGTTACCGTCTCTGTGCCTTTCAGGTCCTCGGCAGCACTCTTTTGTCTTAGAGCCTGTGTGTGGCTTTGAAGGGTCCCTGGCCGGGACCCCTCTCCTCCTCCTCCCCCCCCCCCTTCCCCTTCCCCTTCCCCAGGCGCCCTGTCCTGGGCCTGAAGGCCCCTCTGGTTCCGCCCCAGCCAGTCCACCTCACACTCACCTGCCACCTGTCTGGATTCAGAGCATCTCCAGGCCTCAGCGCCCTCTCAGGTGAAGGTCGTGGGCAGGTGTGTCTCCCACCAGCATTACAGTGTAGCCAGAACAAGAAATAGGACTTTGGGGTCTTTTTCTCATTCTTTTTGGAAGACACAAGCCGCCTGGAGAACCAAAAGCCGTGTTAGGGGTAGAACGGGACTCCTCACCAAAGAACGCAGACGCCTCCCGGTGGCTCCCTGACCGATGACCGTGGATGACTTTGTTCCTTTCAGTGGGGGTCAACTTGTTCTACTTCTGCATCATCATTTACCTGTACGGGGACCTGGCCATCTATGCTGCTGCCGTGCCCTTCTCCCTCATGCAGGTGTCCTGGTGAGTGTCCCCTCGCCCCCACCGTCGTGTAGCCTTGGGCCTCCTCGGGTGGCCAGGGCAGAGTTTTCAGGGTGAAGACACGCCACCAAGGGATCCATCAGCACCTAAAGGATGTAGGCACCCGAGGTCTTTTCTACACGGCCACAGCCAGCTGTGCGTTCTGTCCTTCAGAGACGCGCTCCGCACTGCTGTCCCCTGCCCTGCCCTATTGGGAAGGCGACAAGGAGCCCCCAGAGGCTTCTGACAGTGCGACAGGAGCAAGTGTGGACGCGTCCTGACAGACAGGACGCTGCGGTCGTGGGCAGTGGGATTGTTGGACCGAAAGCAGCTGTGGCGGGGCGGAGGTTCAGTGGTTGCCGGTAATTAGTAACGTTGCGCTCTGTGCGCTTCCGGCCGAGCACGGAGGCCACTCTGAGCCACTGTTCTCTTCCTCAGCAGCGCCACTGGCAACGACTCCTGCGGGGTGGAGGCCGACGCCAAGTACAATGACACGGACCCGTGCTGGGGGCCGCTGCGCCGCGTGGACGCCTACCGCATCTACCTGGTGAGTGGCCCAGCCTCTGCGCTGCCGCGCCGCCCGCCTCGGGCCGCCAGAGGCCGAGCGCCGCCTTCCGCCTCTGCCAGGGCCGTCGCAGAGAAAGGTGTGCGCGACCCCGCGCCCTGGCTGATGGCCGGGGCCCTGACCCTGGGCAGAAAAGGCACCGTGTCTCACAGACTCGAGCCTGGAGAGGCCAGCGCCCAGGCCTCCATCACCTGTGGTCTGGAGTCGGCGTCTGGGTCTTTGCCAGCTCCAGGGCGGTGGACTCTCACAAACCTCGCTCAGGGTTTAGGGGCGCTCTTATCAAAGCGCTGCGAGAGGCGTGGATTCTCGGAGACTTTCTGTGCTTTGACCTCGCTCCCAGCTGGTGCATGCGGACAGACGTCAGCTTTCCTGACTGGGCAGGCAAGACTGAGCCGCCCTGCGGCCGCCCCTGAATACAGACTGACTCTCCACGCAGGGAAGGGTCAGCCCGGCTCTCTCCTTGTCTTCCCTGCTCCCCGCTGCCACCTAGGGAAGATGATGAATCTCCAGGCTCCTCTTTGATTGCTTTGTGCCCTGGGCGGGGGCGGAGGGGAGAAGAAGTAATAAGATACAAAACCAGACAGTTATTTATCTCTGCCTGCTTTGCAGGCAGGACTCAGCAATGTTTCCCTTTCCCTTTTGCAGTATCTATTAATATTCTGCTTCCTCTTGGTCCTCCTCAGCCCTGACACAAATTTAGGTGTGCCAGGTGACACACAGTTTGACACGTGGTCACTTTGCTGATTTGGAGGCGGGGGCAGGGCAGGGAGAGAGCTAAGCGTTTCCGGGAGTCGGCCTCTTGACTTAATTACGCCTCTCCTGGCGGAGGTTTCCACAGGCCCAGACAGCGTAGCGTTTGGGTCTGGATTCGTTAACCCCCACGGCTGCTGAGTGGCTGTTGGCCCTCGCCGCCCCGTCCCGTGGACCTGCCAGAGGGGTGCCCCAACCTGAGAGAGCTGCCTTCCTCTGGGGGCAGCCATTGCGTCGGACGGTCTGCGCTCTGCTCGAGAATGCAGCTCCGGCTGAGAGTGGTCTGGGAGCAGAACTGTATCTGCGCTCCCCCTCCCCAGGCGCCGTGGCAATTTGGCAGCAAATTGACTTCCTGGCCCCCTTCCCCACTGTCCCTCCTGGGGGGTGAGCAGAGTAACTGGCGTGTCAGCCTCTTCGCATGCCAGCAGACCGCGACTGATAAAACTAGCCAGAGCGTCCCTAAGTGTAGCATCCCATCTGGATTGCTGGCTGGCACGGGCGGGAGGAGGTGGAGGACGGGGTCTGGGAGGCTGGGCACTGGCAGGGGAGCAGGTCCCGGGCAGAGGGACGGCAGCAGAGCCCCTCAGGTGGCTTCTGCCCGGGGAGGTCTGCGGCCTCTCCTGTCACATTCCCCGGCCAGCGAAGAGATGGGGGGCCCTGGGAATACTGGCAGCTGACATTGGCCAGGTAGATTCTTTAGAAGCCTTATTATTGCCTTATTAAGTCACTCCTTCACCTATTCCTGTAAACCTTCCACGTGATGGAAGCTGCGCTCCCTGAATCTCAATAACTCCCCACAGAGCAGAAGGGACCCCTCAGAAAGCAGCCCGGCGTTAATTGCTGCCTCCGTCTCCCAGATGCTGCACTTCGAACTCATAAAGCTAATGGCCACCAGGCCTGCAAGAGCTGCGGGCCCAGGGAGGGAAGGGCGAGTGACAGCAGCCTGTGCTCTCCGGGTCCTCTCTGCGTTCTCGCTGCCCTCCTTCACCGCCCCCCTCCACCCCCCGCTGCAGGACGCTTTGGTTTGCTGGAAGGTTTTCGATTCGGATGTATTTTTTTGCCTGGTTTGGAGGACTTCAAGGCAGATGGACCTTCCCTTTGTCTCTGAAGTTACTTTACAACTTTGCACATGTCTCTCAGGGTCCCTGGCTTCTGCAGGACAGTGTATCTTGATCCTAAATACTGGGCCCTCTTCGGCCCTTTCCTTAAGGTCAAGGGGCACAGCAAGCGGAGAAGGGGTTGGCGGGTGGGGGTTCCCTTCCCGGGTCCTGGGCTCGCTGTTGCCAGCAGTGATGGCCTCTTCCCAAGCGACCTCTTCGGGTCATGGGGCAGAGGGCTGTCCCTTCTCCTTGCCCCCCAGGCATCACGTTCAGGAGATCCTCTTCCCTTCTAGAGACTCCTGTGCCCCTTTCTGCCAGCTCTTCTGATTTTGCTGCCAGCCAGACCTCCCCAGATGTCGGGCAAGGTGGTGAGCGGGTGTAAAGCGCCCTCTGACCCTGGGCAGTCGCCTCGCCGGCTTGGGGTGGTAGCTTCCCTGTCTGGGCCTGCATGTTTGAAAGGGCCACCTCCTGGCCACTCCTTCATTGCTATTCCGGGACAGTATGTTCTGGGGGATAAAGATACAGGCTTTTGTTTTATGGCTTAATTTTCAGAACGTCCTCTGGAAACAGTCTCTCCTGTGTCTTCCTGGGAGTGCTGAGGTGCACACGCGAAATGAGAGCATTGAGGGATTAGCTCTGTCCAGAGTCTGGTCTGTGAGGAGCCTCAGGGCCCCTTCATCAAGGGCGCTTTCTCCACCAGCAGCTCCCGGCCACCTCTCCGAGCCCTTGACCTTAACAAATGGAGAACCCCTCCGTGCCCCCTGCACCCCGCGACCCCCACCCACAGCCTGCGATCACAGTGCCGCTGATGAGTCAGCTTCCCCCCTCCTTCCTCCGAGGGGCTGCTTAGAGCACCATGAGGGGGGGATCTTGTGAGTTCCATGTGCCCTCCAGGGCGTCCCAGCCAGTGGCCGCAGCTGGGGTCAGCCGTGACCTCCGCCCTGTTAGGAAGACCCATGAGAATTGCCATCAGGACCTGTTTTGAGCAGGCCTCGGATCCCCGGGACCCCCCAGTGTCCTCCCTGCTCCTTTGAAGAATCAAATAGGAAAGTGTTTGGTGCGCCAACTCCCCAGTCCCAACCTTGCCCCCGGCCGGGGCCTCTCGGGGTTCTTTCTGCAGAGCGTCTCGGGCCCTGGGAGCCAAGCCGGGCTTTAGCATCTCATTCTTTCCCCTGCCATGAGCAGGGGCCAGGGGCCAGGGGCCGCCGGGGAAGCGACGGGCTTGCATGTGAATCAGTCCTGTCTGGAATCAGGCTGTCTCAAGTGCCTGGGAAATAGGACATGCGTCACAGTCCCCTGGAGTCAAGGACACAGCCAAGCACTCTTGTCGCACTTCCTCACCCCTCGGTGCTTCCCAGCCTGTCACTCACCTCTCCTTCCCAGGGCCTGGGCCCCGTCCCTGCCTCCTCCTTGGGAGTGTCAGAGGCGAGCCCTGGGGGTGCAGTGGGGCTCCCCAAGTGCTGAAGACTCCTAGCCATTCACAGGAGTGGCATCTGCCACTTGCAGGTGGACAGATGCTGCCAGGTCACTGGCAGCCCACCAGGCACCGGCCACGCAGAGCCGGGAGCGCCGATGGCAGGAGGGAGCCTGTCTTGCCCGGAGACTGGGCCACAAACAGGCAATACTGAGCGGGCGGCCCCTCGTGGGCTGCCTGGGAACAGGAGAGGGTCGTCCGGCCTTGCCATCCCACGTCAAACGTGCGAGCTGTGAGACCCACCTCTGGGCACGGGCAGCCAGAGAGAGAGATGTGGCCTCCAAGTGCCCCGTAGATGGCCTGCCAGCCTCCACCAGACAGGGAGGTTCTCCCCAAACTCCCTCCGGACAGCCCCTTGAAGGAGCGGGTGTGCCGTGGAGGTCTCAGGGGGAGTTCTGTCTGCTGGACTCTGCCTCTCCCTAGAGCAGTGGGAAGGCTGGGGACCGGGCTCAAGCCTTCCCCGGGCGCCTGGTTCCTCCTCCTCTGCCAGGAGGCGTGCTCCCCGATCCGGCCCTGGCTCCGTCTCACGCAGCAACACTGGGCTCTGCCTGTCCCCAACACTTACAATCATGAGCAGCCCTCTTTTTAAAACCGACTGGTCTCTTCTACCAGCAGCCCCGTCTGAGGGGGAAACATCCTTTTGGGAGTGGAGAAGGGAGTGAGGCACCCCCAGGGCAGAGGCGTGCCAAGCGGCGACTGGTCCTGTTGTGGTTTGTCTTCCACCTATGTGGCCTGTTACCAGCTACTCTCATTCCTGCTCTGGTCCTCCAGGCCACACGGCGAGGTCCGTGACATCATCCCACTTTCCAGCAGAGAAAGCTGAGGCTTGGAGGCTGTGACTTCCCCAGGGCCACAGAGCTGAGACAGAGACAGCAGCCAGCTCTTCGGGCTCTTGGCCACGTCCCACGGTCCTGGTGACACAGGCTTGCTCAGCTGGTGGGCAGCCCTGCGGCCAGGCCTGGGGGTTGGGCACGCTGGTTCCTCGGCCTTGGAGCGTGCTGTTGGCGGGAGGTTGGGGCCACGCTGCCAGAGGAAGTGTCTGTGCAGTGATCCGTGTCTGCACATCCTGCGCGTCCGCCTCATCGATTTGCTGTCTCTCTTGCCGCTCCTTACTGGCTCCTAGACGGGGAAGCAGGCTTCTCCCGTCCACTCAAGCAGCGTTGGAATTTGAGGCAGCTCCCAAGGACGTCTCCCTTCCCCTTGCACGGTCCTCCTCTGTTCTTTCACGGCAGCCGCTGTGCCCTGGGGCCATGGCCTCTGCTAATAAGTGGGTCACCGCTGCCAGCACTTGAATATTTGCTCTCACCAGTTCTGGGCCAGGAGGTGGCCTGGAGGCCCTCAGAACCGGGGAGGAGGGAGGTCCATGGGGAGCGTGCTCTCGCAGCAGCAGTGACCTCGCGGGACTTGGGAGCTCTTGGGGACACTGCTGCAGTGGGATACGCGGCCCCCATGTCTGTGCAGCGTCGGGACGCCGGAGTGGAGTGAGGCGCGGGCAGCTGCGAAGGCCGCCCACAGCCGCCCCGGAGGGCTGGGGACTGGCAGGGCGGGCGCGCCGTCCTCGTGGAGGGTCTGCGGGGCGGCTGTCGGGGGCACAGTGGGGTCCCAAGCCCCGCAGACGGGCCCGGGGCAGCCTCCCCTCTCTGGTGGGCGATGCCCCC